ATATGATTCAACATTGATAAGAATAGCCCGAAAAGCCTTTTTATGCGGAGGCATGCCGATTTGAATATCTATTTAAATACGTTTAAATTTTGTTTTATCGCGTGTCACAAAGAAGGACGTATAGACAATCGTCGAATATTTCTAAAAATAATCGGTGATTAATGAACTTTTAAAAATAGATTCACATAGAATTTATTGAGAAATAATTGTCATGTTTAATATGAAAACGCACATTAACTTCCGTTTCTTTTTTACTTCGAAATCCTCAATGCTAAGAAAATGTTCAGCTAACACAAATTTAATTTGAAAATGAACTATATTACTACAGATCTGTTTGAGTATATCAAATGTGTTGTGTTTTCGGACCGATGAAACTTTTTGTGAGCTCCATCGAATTTCATGAAGTCTTACTCGACTTTTGGAAAAGTCTGCTTTGCCAATAAAATTGATGCTTCTCCGGTTTCACGCGGTGACAGCAGGAAAAACTAATAAATTTTGACCGTCCGCTTTTTCGGCGCAGTTGCGCGCGGACGGTGAAGCCGTATGTTTCCATCGGCGCGGTTTCACGTGTATTTTTGCCCCATGGCAGCGACACGCAGCATTGCTCGGAGCCTGAATATTAGGCAATCTAACGCGTCCAAGGCTAGCTAAGCCTTGAGCCGCCTTTCCAAGTGTTTCACTAACCCGACCGTTCGCTCGATCGCGACTACTGTCCCGAGTCTCCTTACGGATTAGCTTAACGATCGCTCCTCAGCCTGTTCCAAATCTTTATGAAAAATCACGTAACGACGCATTATTATCGTTATATAACGTTGTTGTATTACTCTCAATAAAACTATATCCAGTTTTCTTTTTATCACAAGATAAATGATGATTTCTTAGATAAAATCATACAATTTTGTTTTCTTACTTTATTGGCTAAGAGAGAGAGAAAGAGAGAGAGAGAGAGAGAGAACGTAAATATATTATAAGTGTTACTTAATTCCTTCTGTCGTCGCTAACATTTTAAATAAGATCTTTTTCGATTTGAAAGAGTACAATTTCTTTAGACTTTGATCTTTGCTTTCGGCGATAAATCGAGCGGCGGAACACTAACTGATTGTGAGTGAGCTTTATCACATTGTATTCCTCGCGTATATTCTCGCCTGATTCATTGATTTCGATTTTATCTTCAATGGCACAGATGCCATATCGACCGATAAACCATGTGCGCGTCTTTGACTTGTTTGTTCACCGTGATTCGAATCTCCAGCCTCTCCGGTTTGCGCCGGGGGAACCAGTTTTTCCGACTCGGATGAAAGACCGGTTGGATCGCGCGACGGTTTATGTAGCCGTCGAGGCCCCGATTGTTTTACCCGGTCTAACTGGAAAGCACGATAATTGCTATTTAAGATGAAGACCAGCGGGACAAAAAGTTGCGTCACCGCGCCGGGTCGCGATCGGCTCCGTCAAGCGAGCCCGACGCCGCTAAACGCACGATATTTCATAATAAAAGCGATCGAGCGATCACGATTTTCCGCATATCCTTGCAGCACATTGAGGCTATAATATAATATCATAAACCCAATGTATAGTGATACACATAATACACGGTGATACAATCCGACGAGAAAACTTCGTCTTTGATTAAAAGATAAAATAATTTAATTAACCAAGCGTATCACGATTTTCTAAAATTGCATAATAGTTATTCGTATTGATGAGGGAAAAGACTAAATATACTATCATCGTTTTCCGATATTTAAATAAAATAACAGGCATTAAAATGTCTTAACTAATTTTTAGAAATTTAACCTATCTTTTTTTTAGAAATTGCAAGAATTTTCAGAATTTCAGAAAAATTAATGTTTTTAAATTATTTTACTTTTGCCTTTTGATATGAGAAAACATAGTGCCTTCTATATATATAAGACCTGGTAGTTTGTTGTTATCAAAATTACCCTAATTCCGCACGTGCCTCTCGAACCGCTTAATATTCACCGAAGTCGTCACACGACGATCGATTTCTATTTGAGGGACACAAAAGACCGGCTGTGTGAAAACGTTTCCTCTGTTACGACAAAATAATGTAATTAGCTTCTTGTCCGACTGCTATCTTTCTGTCCCCACCAGGCGCCGCTTAACGTTTGTTTCCTACCAACCGGACGCGAGGACGAGTGTCCCGTGCTCGAATTATGTAACGTCGCACTTTCGTCGGCGCCTCTTATGTCAGTGCGACCGTGCGGCTGCGGCGCGCTGGCGTAGCGTCGGCAATTCTTTTCTTTTCGTACATAAAATTAATTTTCCACAACGAATGTCGATTGTGCGAGAGAGATTGTAAAACTTGCGCTACATTCACCTTGATGAGAAATACTCTGTCATAACGCGCGCAATATCTATAACGTAATCCCGCAATTTCCGCGCATTTATCAATGTGCATTAAAGATCGATTTGTATACGTATAATTCCGTCATATATAACACGATAATTCTCCAAGCGATACCATACACGCCTGTCGATTCTTTTCGTAGAGAAAGTTAATGCAAGATTAGGAGAAAAATAAGGAGCAAAGTGTATTTAATCCTAGAATCAATATAATTGCTCGTGTTAGAAATCTCATCTCGATCTCGTTACGTTAATATTTTGAAACTGATGAGTACCCAATTAAGTGGATAATTTTATAAAAATACTGAAAATAATATTCTCATTTTACTTCCAAAAATATAAATTGATTTATTAATCTAATTCGAAGCGTTAAGTACCGACAAAACGTACATTTGCGTACTGCGGATTAATGAATCGAGCGAGGGTATTATGTACCGTCACCTGCTAATATTACGACATTAAAGCTAATATCTATTGTCAATATTTATTAAGTCAAAGAGAAAGTTTTGTGATATCGTAATGCCACCAATGATCCACGGTGGCGTAATGAGAGTGGGGACGTCGTTCGGCCTTTCACCCTGCCGAATATTCAACAAAGGTACCAGGCGAAATGCCTCTTAAAAATCATACCAGATCTGCATCGTTAATTTTTTCACAATTACACATTTTTACGGCCAATGGGCATTAGAAAAAAAAAATTGATAGTAGAAGGCTAGTGAAATTTCGTCTCGTGATATTATTTATGCGTATCACTCTGTAATATTTTCTCTCTGATATTTCTTAGATTTTAGCAAGGTAAAACGTGATTACTGTCATCGCGCGTCTGGACGATAATAATTATTACTATTTATCGTCGCGCTATCACCGCTTTAGCATGCGACAAGAATTGCCGGTTGTCAGACATATCGATCGTGTGTAAGCAATGTTACATTTGAGATACCGTGACCGTACGTTTATTATAATATGTACGATCGGACGAGAAACGGGCGTCTGTTTTGACAGAGAGAAAGCACGGTGTACTTAATATACGCGCCATGTGTGGAACTTCCACTCGAAAATTGCGCAACCCGGAGGAGGCCCTTCAGACGTTTGCTCGCGATAGATAATGCAACGAGAATACTGAACAAACCGACGTGATGACCCAGAAATCCCAGAAATAAACGCGGTCGGTATACCACCTACAAACACGGCTGGAAATAATCGTATATAAATCTCTCACGGCTCCTCGAATCATCATTTTATTTGTCCTCAAGACGAAAACCGCCGGGCATGTTGCATATTTTAAGCAAAGAGAATGGAATATTTTAACATTTAAGGAGTATAAACACACGCGAAGCACGCCAGGCATTCGACATTTTTGTCCAGACGAGAGACTTTATTTTTCTTCCTCTCCTTCCTGCCCGCACACTAAAAAACGTTTCGCAGTCATTCGGTAGTCACGACGATAATAGCGCGAAGTAAGAGAGGGGCACGTCCTTTAAAAACCGAACATATTTTCTCTCGGTAAAAAATGTAGGCGTCGCACGTCAGTGTTACTTAACGGCAAAATCGCCGCTATGACAAATTGCTTGATATGATAAATTTGCGATTTAATCGCCGAGCTACCCGACGGATTTCCTAATTAAAGAAGATTCGCGGACGTTATTACTTTCTCTCCCGAAGTATCCCGGCGTGAAAACGTCGCTTCGGAGGATCTTACCGGCGTTTGACGGAATATCACGCGGATATTAGTCAGTTTGTCGTGCGAGGAGCCCACGCGGATCGAAAATCCTGCGATCCGTAGAGCCGTGGCATAACCGTCGTCGCACCGCGGGCTTTACGCTTCGTAACAATACCCCGACTTTCTCCGTCACTTTCATTTTCGTTGGTCGGCTGCTCGACTCTCCCGTTTCTCTCTCGCTTGGATTAAGAAATAGTGCGTGCCCCTCCGCCGTGCCCTGAGCGCGGTGTGCCCCCGTGCCGCGTTCACCGGACCCCTCGTCGATCCGCCTGCGGTCGGCACCCGTGATTTTAGAAAGGGTTCCCTACCTCTCTCTCTCGCTCTCTCTCTCTTTCCTCCTACATCTCGGTGCCTCGTTCCGTATTGGTACCTTCGCGTTATGTGGCGAAACGCGAGGAATGTACGACGCGCCCTTTCCACTTTGCGCCTTCCTTTTTTGGTGTTAGGCAGCGGTCCAATAGTCGCATCTTGACATATATTTAGCGTTATGAGTTTTTTTTTATATCTAGAAGTAGATATTTCATTATTCTTTATTGGAAAATAATTATGAAACACACAGGAATTGAAATAAACAGTGAAAGCAAGCATGTTTTCAAATTAAATTCTAAGTCGCAATAAATAGTCTCGATATAAGCCTGTTCACATTATTTCTAAATCGTTATAAATAAATGAGGAACCATTTTCTTATAGATACTTAGCCAAATTAAGAAATTGTAGGTATTGTAATTCTTTTAATTAAAGAATTTGTAATTATCCAATCAATATAATTAATTAAATTATGAGATAAATTACAGATAAGCGCATGATTTTATAATTCTCTTATTCCTAATCCTACTTAATTCTTTCAGGTATTGTCATCGAGCTAAAAAACGGAGGAGGGAAAACATCGTGAAGGAAACGTCGTGAAGGGTCAGTATTTTTTTTAACACGTATATTTCACTTTCCGTTGAAAAATAATGCCGTAAATCGTCGTAAGAAATAATAGAATCTGCACAAATCAACTCTCTCTTTCTTTCTCTCTCTCATTCACACATCTCTCTCTTTCTCTCTCTCGCTCTTTCTTTCTCTCTCTTTTTCTCTTATCTTCTTTCTCTCGCACGCGGCGCACCGCTGTTATTCGCTACAAATATTTACAATGACTGGAACTGTCGTCCGAAGAGGGGGGAGGAGGGTGGGAGATTTTCTTTATTCCTGAAGGCGAGAGGACGCGAAATCGAAGCGGAAACGATCGGGATCCCCTGCGCCACCGGATTTTCTTTCTTAACTAGGGAAAGAGGAATGATTAAAGGAAAAGAGAATATATATATTTACGTATGTTTGCGCGGAAACGAGCAGCGATCCCATTATACAGCGATAGCGAAAAGGTGTGCAGTTACAGCCTACCCTGTACCTCCATTCAAAGACATTCACGAGTACATCATAGAATCCGACGATTTCTTGAAAAAACGCACGACTTTAGAGCGTCGCAATAAATAGTAGCGAGCGATAGTTATTAAATAGCAATATCGATTAATAAGTAGATGCGCCTGGCAGTAGTACGAGTCGAGAAGTCGTTCTCGTTAACGTTCGCGCGATCAATTGACAGGGCAGATTAGAGGGAAGGGACGGGGGGGTGGGGGGGGGGGCAGCTCGAGGAAACGACGAGTAAAAGACGAGTGCGATAAAAAGTTTCTAGTTCGTGGTCAGGAACATGCGACATTTAGTACACATCGAGTACATTAAAAAATGCCTTACGGCGGCCTCGCGCCGCAAATGTGTAAATCTTCGCTCGCTCGATTTGCACCTGTGTTACTCGCCCGGATTCAGCGACTAAAGAGACGAACGTGAACAAACACAATAAATAGCTTGCTTCAATGAGCGCGAACGAGACGTCGCGAGTTTGAAGATATTCTAAAGCTATCACACATTTTTCCCTTGACAAACAATCCCATGGAGTAATTTAAGCATTTCTGCTTCTATACTTTTAATGCATAGGTATTATTTAACGCGCATCCTGTAGTTCTATTATAACACAAAAGATCAAGTTATCTTCTCTGTTATCCTTCCTCTTAATGAAACTATAAACGTCGAAAGTGCCGAAATAAGTAATGAGACTTCAGTTAAAATTCAGTTAAAAATTTCTTTTAACTGGAAGTTCAAAACCTAATGGCGAAATTATTTAATATTAAAAAGGAAATGGAAATCTTACGTTCGATATCAACGTCACATTCTCCTTATCTTACCGTAAAAAGAATTTGCCATTAAAAGGAAAGACGGTGAATCTAGGATATCCTGGTGTACGCTGCAATGTGACTCTCCCGTACGGTTTAATTTTATCCTGTGAGATCAGTATTGCATGTTTAATACATCGATAAACGTGTTTTCTAGTCCCTCGTCTCGTTCGTACGCCTTACCAGCTTTAGCCGTTACTTGCGCAATTGCGCTTACAACAGAAAAGATATGGATTAAGCACAATTGAACTAATACGATTGCGTGTAATGCGCTTTGTCAACATTATGTGCTCGCATTATGTGTAGAGTAGTATTTTAATGAAATGCAACACTGATATCAGAAAGGCCTACTTCGCGAAGTTCAACTTTGGCAGTAAAAGCAGTAATTACCGCAGAGTAAAATTAACCTAAAATTAAATCATGTAATTAATATATCCTTATTACATTTTTATGACGCAGAAGTAAATGTTAATTATATCTTTTAACCGTCAGAAGCGGCCGGCGCAGGTTCTAACTCCATTTCCCTCGGTAATGTCTTTCTACGATGAAAATGTCACGGCGAAACCTTTCACCGGTGTTCGTCGCTGACATCTGTGGTAATTTTATTTACAACAAACAATAAAATAACACCTTGCAAAAATTTCAAACGGCAGAAGAAATGTTAAATATCGATTTAACATCGCGACGATGGAATATTTCCTAATCAAAGATCTCCATTTACAAGCAATACGATCTAAAACATAAAATGCAGACATATATATTCCTTTGCATACCGAATAAAATGTATAAATAATGTCGGTAAATATCTAGCTTCGATCAGTATCCATCGTATATATAAAAATTACTTATGTTACATAGCATACATTTGCAATGAAATCTGTAGACGGATGTCAATAATGACGACAATAATTTACAAAAATATTCTAGAACTATATCGCATTTTCTTTCGACAAATAATTTCGAAAATCAAGCCCTACTGCTTCTACTTTTAATGAATATTATTATTGTTCGACTTAACGCGTCTTAGAACTTTCTCAAAACAAGAGATTATTGCGAGTGGAGGCGGTGCAATCGAAAGGATCGAGCGCCGAGGTAGGAATCGAGATAATTTTGTGCACGGGGCCATTTTCCCGAGACCTGACATTAAGATCCAGCGATCGATTTTGCAAGATTCGAGCTTGTTGCCGGCGCGAGTCGACGGGAATTCGAAATGGCTTTTCGCGGTGTAGCTAATAGATACCTAACTACAAAGTACGTATAGTCCGACCGCCCATTTACGGAACAGTGTGTGCTCACCGAGGATCATGTACAACAATGGGGGATTCCTAAGTGTTCGGAGCTTTGCTTTTTTTGCATTCTCCGTCGTTCCGGTCACGATTATTCGAGGTTGCGCAAATGCAATTGTTAATGAATAATGATCGAGCGGCACGATCGGGTCGTGTGCACGCGTGAGCCCCTTTTGCGCGCGGCTTATGCGACGTTCGTCGGGACAATTTTTCGTTTATAAAACTCGCGCGGTTTGGCGGAAAAACATGCAGGCCCGACAGCGGCGCAAACGCTTGTAAAAGTGAAATGGATGAAATAGACTGACCTAATTAACCGATCTTTACACCGTTTACAGCCGTCTTGTGTAACGAATGCGTGTGCGTATCAACGCGTTATTACGTAATTTTATTAGTATATTAATATTGTCTCTCGGGAATATAAAAATTATCCCGCCGCTAATTATTAGAATTTCCCACGTAATAATTTCGATTTCTGCATACTTGTAATATTTTAATATCAAACACGTATTCTCCCCGTATAAGCGCGAATGCTTGAAAAAGCATTTATCGATCTTTCACATTTTTTTTTCTTCTCGTTCCGACATACTTTATTTCCTAGATAATACATTAACACGAATAAAAAAGCGTATACTCTTGCAATATATGCATTCCTCCTAATAATGATTTCATAAATTTACTTCGTCTCGACGTGGTGCGCTGTCTTTCTCATCTCAATTCTCGCGAAATTCTCGCTGAAGAAGCTGAGGGCTTCTTCAATGAACTGAACGCGTGTACATTCACCTTTCACCACTTATTAATTAAATTAGGTAATTCAAAATTTACGCGCTAAGACGGCGATCCATTTACAAGACGCTCATTAATACAGACGGAAGGAGTGGCATTTCCATTCAGTCGCCTGAGTCCCGTGTTATAACAGCGTCGAAAAGATAAAGAATAGCCGCGCCGCAGGCGCACTCTGCGCCCGGACTGCGTGGTTGGCGCGGGCAAAAGCCGCATTTGCGAATTATAAGATCTCTTCACATCTCTTCACTTTGTGAGATATCCCTTCTCAAATGAATTTATCCAAGCGAAATGAAGTTTCCTTGGGGTTAGGGTGGGGAAGGGGAAAGGAGAGGTGTACATTAGGAACGATCTCCATTCTTGGATAAGTTATCTTATGAAATATCGCCCACAGAAATTGATTACGTGTTTGTTGCGTGTATATGTGATATTTTTTAATTTATACAATAAATATTAATTTGTGAATATATTAGTCTTATTTATATAAAAAAACACCTAGATGTTTAACGGCTTTTTTATATTGCGCATTTAATTTTTTTTTAATTTCTTCATTACTTCACTATAGACTGGCAGTTTGTAAAATTTGCTTTATTAGATCAGGAGCTAAGAAGAAAAAAGATCTGTTTCGGCATTTTGTAATATCGAAGATAAGGCTCTTTCACACGATTAAGTGGCTTTTTTGGGGGGGGTGAGTCGCTTAAATGCGAGATTTAAAAGTTCATGTACTTACATGCGTTTTAACTACTATATGGACGGATGTGTCCGTGTCGAATTTTTCCGCGACTTCTTTCGCCAATGAAAGGACGACGATATTCTACTTTGATTCATGATCAACTGGATGGGGCAGTAGTATAATTATCAGTAAGTCTAAATTATCAGTCATCATAGTTGCAACAAATTGCACCGGATATACTTATATCGATATAAGGGGCAGTGTCGCAAATGGGCAGCGACGTTCAATTCCATGCGACTTTGATTCTATTCTTCTTTTCGAAGACTTTCGATTTCATTGCGAACTTACTGGACGTGCTTTCGGCATTTCGGAATTGGCGTTTCGAGACAGTCTTCTCCGTCCGGTCGTTCGCAACTTACGATACGATTCTAAAAACGAATTTAATCAGCTGGTGTGCGATCGATAAATCTGAGTCGACGACGATGCGCTGTCAACCTTCGAACGGTGCCAGATCGGTTCGCGGACAGGCGATTTAAATAAATCCGCCTAGCGCATCGTGGAAATCTTGCAAATAGGCGAGCAGCTGCGGCATGGTTGGCCGATCCCTGGGGGGACTGAGCCAGCAGGCTTCCATACAGGCGAAGAGCTCATCGGGACAAGGTCTCGGTTGAGCGAGCCGATATCCGTCTCGGAGACACGCCATCATCTCGAACGGGTCCACTTCTACGTACGGCTGTTGACCCAGTGTCGCCAATTCCCATAGGAATACCCCGAAGGACCACTTGAAAGCAGAGATAATATTTCATTAAAGGATTATATATTTTTTTATAATCATTTTTATAATACTTTTAGGATGATTTAATGCAATTGCACATAACTTCTATTTTTTTTTTAATTTTTTTTATTCGGAACGTAAATTCTGCTTTAATTTTTTTGTAACTCTATTTTTTATTTTGAAACATGACTTTTTAATTCGTATGAAATTGTAATATAAAACAATCTATAATTCTCTTTACAAATATTTTGTTTGAATGTATTTATTTAGATTTGCCGAGATGTTTCCTCGAAAAAAAAAGCAATACAATTTCGATTTGTCTGCGTATATAAATTGGGATCGTACCACGTCGGTCGCCGTGCTGTATTCGTTGCGCTGGAGGCTCTCTAGGGCCATCCAACGTATGGGTCGGTTTTCGTTATCACCGAGGCAATGATAGTCCTGTGGGAAGAGATCTCGAGCCAGGGCAGCGTCAGCCAGTCTCACGCGGATGCTGCCTGGTTCAATTATGCAATTTCTGGCAGCAATATCCCTAGAAATTATCGATAAGGTGAAAATTATCGTTGACATTTTGCCGTTATAGGTAAACGCTCTTGTGTACCGCGAGGGATAATAATGTTATCCTTAACAATAGCTCTGCTCGCAACCAACAATCTATTTTGTTACATGTTCAGACAATCAATTACACATAGATTTTTAATCAAATCAATGCCTGATTTCATAATCGTTAATTACGATTAAATAATCGTTAATTTCATAATAATAATTAATTATTATTATAAAGTAATTTGATTTGCGATGTGATAATTTTGATTGAGAAAATTATTAAATAACGAACTATTACGTTTTTATTGTAAATTTGAAAATTATTCGAAGTTCTTACGCTTGTACCAGAGAGAAAGGGAGGCGATAGTTCGTGATAATGGAGACGTGGATAATACTTTAGGTCAACTTACCTGTGCAGCAGACCTCGCCCGTGAAGAAACGCCCCAGCTCTAGCAACCTGGGCACCAACGTGTACCAAGTCTCTAGTCACCGGATGGTGATTTCCATCCGTAAGATAGACCTTTAGATTTAGCTCACCGGGCGTGCTTGTATAAGCCAGCAAAGGGCATGAACTGTCCAGACAAGCGGCCGCCAAAGAGGCGATGTTTGTATGAACTAATCCAGCCAGTTGCGAGCCTTCCACCACCAAAAGAGAAGCTTGGTAAGCGGATGCCACCTCTAAAAACAAACAGTATTATCGAGTATCAGTGATAGTGTGATTAGAGCGGCCGCATGCTAATCAGAATCGAACATTTGTTTTGTTGGGAAAACTATTTTTCCTGTCGTTTCCGTTCGAAAACTGCCTTTTTATTTTTAACAAGGGTATTTAATAATTTTTTGTTTTTAATAATATTTGCATATTAATAACATTTAATAATTAACTAAAATAAATAAAATAATCAGAATCTAAAATTGTAAAATTTAAATCAATCTATACTTTTAATAAACGATTTCAATCATTTTCAATAAAGAGCATATTATATTCAAATAGAAATCACTTCATAAATATTTGTAAATGAATTCTATAACATATAAAAATCGACTTCTAATTATTTAATTTTATATTTAAGTATTAAATATTAATTTATCCAACTACACGTATTATGTCGAATGTGTGAGATCACGAATAGCCGATGGTGGATATAATAACTTTCTATTTTATCCTGAACAGATATTTTCTTGATCTATCGATCATTTAAATATTTTCCTAGAAAAAATGTGTTTGAGGTAATCTCGCAATTTTTCATAAACTTGCACATCTGTTAAACAAATTATTTTTTAACAAAATGAAATTTTTTTAAATTAATAAAACTATTATTCCTTAAAAAAATCTGCCATAAATGCGACTTGATACGTTGAACACGATTAACATGATATATAAAATCATGATGATTTATTTTTTTTTTTTAACTAAATCTCACCTGTGACTGTCTTTATGATGACTTCTTGCTCCCGGCCGGCTAACTCCAAAGTTCCTTTGTATACGCGACCGAAAGTGCCCTCCTGCACGAGAGTGCGACAGTACAACGCTGATCTCGATACTGCGAGGGCTCTGGCCTTCTCACATGGATCAGTCGACTAAAAATCAATAATACGTATCCTTTAAAGAAATACCAGCATTTCGACAAAAATAAAAAGAATCGATTAAAAGAGGATTATAAACGTGTGTATAGAAGTGTCATAAATTTATTCATGAATTAACTATATAAAAATTTGAAACTGCCATAACAATAAGAAGAAGGATAGTTCCTGTCTTCAGGAATAAAATTGCAAAAGACAAAGAATGAAAAATGCAATTGTCATCTCCCGATGAGAAATGAGTAAACTACGCGATTATTTATATATGTATTAGTAGTTAACAAGCCGGGGACCCCGCTGTCGTTTAAAATCTCAATCGCGCACGGGCGCGTCTGCATAATTCATAACTTCTGAGAAAAAAAAACCTCATCAGGCGGGGATTCATTAAAAAGGCATTTGTCGTGTGTAAGGTGACGCCGACGAGACCTCCGGGGACGCGCAGGGAAGAATCCTCCACTCCCTCCTCCCCCTCCCATCCCCACCCTCCGGAGGGGTCGTTATGGCATCGTCGCGCAGCCCTCTTTGTTCGCCAGGCGGATTTTCCATCGGAGCCGACGTAAAACGCGAGAAAGCTACGCGGACGTGCGCGCACGGGAGGGGTGACTATTCATTAATTTCAATTTTCCGGAGTTTTGCCTTCGGTCCCCGCCCGTTCCATTTGGACGTACGCACACGCGCGCGCGCGCCCACGCATAGACGGAAACGAGCCGCGGGGGTGGAGAAAACGGGATGGAGACACGGGGAAAAATGGTGGGGAAGAAAAAAAAAGGGAAAGGAGACGACGGAAAACCAGTTCGAAACACGTCGATGCGACCGCGCCGGCGAAATTACCGGGCGATATATTGGATTCGAGAAAGGGGGTTGCGCCGCGACGGCGGCGGCGGCGGCGGCGGCGGCAATTCGAATGGACGGTAACGCCGTTCCGGGGTTGGTTCCGGGGGTCGGTCCGGGAGTGGTCTCGGAAATTATTTACGAAATTCCCGGATAGCGCGCGGGATGCTCGGTGAAAATGCAAACACCGCGGCTAATTCCGCGGCTTATCGGGGTCTGTGATTATTGCAGAGGCGAATTGTGTCGGCGCGTCTGGCGAGCGTTGTTTTCGCGCGAACAAACGGGAGAGGCGAAACGAACGCGAACGAATTCGCGCGACTCTCGTCGATCTCGCTTTCCCTCGCGGTTACATATTTTCTTCTTTTTTTTCTCTCTCTCTCTCCCCCTCGCGGCTTATACGGGGTGCCCATGTATATATGCGCTCGCGTGTGCTTTTTTCTCGTTTCCCGATGAAAATGTGATGAGCGAGGTGGAAATTGCCGGGCGGGGACCCGCCCGACGCGTCGAAGGTGCGAATGGAATTCGCTTTGTTGCGTAACGAAGCTATAAATATAAATTAGATTAAGATCGAGAATTGAAGTTTCATATACCTATGTTCTTTTCAGTAATTCTTTGAAACGTGATTAATCTGAAACTTGAAGTAATTCCCAATTATAAGTGTCACGTTGAAATGATTACACACGTGAGCAAAAAGAAAATCGATTGTTGCTAATTAATATCGGTAGGTTCCGAGAAGTACGTCGATGCACGAGCAAACCCGATTATGTAAGTCGTTAACAACTCGCGCTAGCGCGTTCTAAAATTAAAAGTACAAAAATCGTGACTTGAAATCGGATAATCGTTCGTCGCGCATCGCTTGTTTATCGAGCAGCAGGAAAAAAAAATAGAACCGTACGTTTGGTCGGGTGACTGTCCGAAATTTTTCCGTGCATCTAGTAATGGATATTACTTCGCTATTTACATTACGGAATCAGAATCGTAGTATCGAACGTGTAGCGCCACCGGCAGAGCGTTTTTTAGCTCATCCAGCGCGGAGCAGCAATTTGATTTATTTACTGAAAGGCTTTCGTCAAACATCACGTTCGTTCGTTCACTCATTCGTTCGTTCGCTCGTTCGTTCGTTCGACCCGTTGAAGGCGCTCTAAAAGCTTCGTTTTCAGACTACCACGCTCTCGACATGCCCAGAGCACTTTTAATTCGACCCCGCCGATTTAATAATACCGGTTTTCCGTCTCCCTCGATTAAAGCGGCGGCGCCTCGGCACGACGGAACAAAACTCCGCGGCCGTGAGAAATTAATTAAATCGAAGAATCAGCTTTTACGTAACTCCACGTAATTAATATATAACGCGGTGGTTAAGCAATATAACGCGACGTAAATTGATAATAATCCGAATGTCGGCGGGACGCCTGTACTTTTTGTAATTCTATTACTATCTTGAATGATTGCACGTTTTTAATACGCTGAAAAATTATTGCTGACGCGTGATATCTCGGACGATTTGCAAGATAAACTGCTCGCTTTTTTTTAAGTAAACTATTACGTTCTGCTTCAACTTAGCTGTTGGGAGCGTTAAAAGAAAAAAAAATTTTTTTTAAATATAAAACTCTTTTAGAAATTAGCGCGAAGAATTAGTTTTATGTATTTCGTTTTCCAATATTTTTGAAACATTTCAACTCGACAGCCAAGCAAAATTTCCTTCGCGAAAAAATGATGCACATGAGAGAGTGAAACTCGGGTACAAAAGAGACTTCTTAGGGTTAATTTGCTGTGTGCACCTCAGGCAAATAACCTGCCTCGTACGAGCGCGAAATGCGCGGAGGATCAAATAGAACATCGGCAAACACGCGGGCCGGTTATCTCGGTCGCGATCATCGGCCACGGAGGTGCTTGCAACTTTTTACGAGGGGGAAAAAAAAAACCCTGAGTATTGGTGTCCCCGTGGGCAGGCCATGTGGAAAATGCCGGGTCGTCAGGCCATTCCGCCATTTCGCCCGCGCCCGACTCTCTCGCGCGGAAATCCACGGCCACGGGCGGCGCGGGCGGATCCGCGGGGTGGCGGGGTAGAACGTGTGTATGTGTGTGTGTTTGTCCTCGTGCTGGAAGATCGTTTCCTCCGATAGACAGCGTCAGGTAATGGCTTCCCCCTCAGCAATGGGATCTCAAGCGTATCGTTTTACAGGGTGGGGTAAGACGCTGTCGCTGGATTACGTCAGTCGGTCGGTCGGTCCGTGCGCGAGGCGCCCTCGGGATGGGACGTTCCGGGGGAGGACGTGAAGGGAGAGAGTAAGGTTTTCACGGAGGTTCAGGGCTACATCAATCGGTCGGTGTACGCGCGTACGTGCCCGACGTTATACGTATGTACGTGAGTCGTGAACTGTGTAGACGGTGTGTGCGCAAACCCTGAGGTCGGCCTCTGTGTGCACGTTCATAGGGTCGGTTGCGTTCGAGACGGAGCGTCGCGCGCGTCGGAGGGTTCGGGACACATACGCGCGTATACCCGGTAAATTGATCCAAGATCAAAGCCGAAACAATCACAGGACCCACTTCCAACCACTCCCTCCCTCTCCCTCTCTCTCTCTCTCCCTGCCGTTTCCCTCGCTGCCAAGCCTCGCCCTCGCACGTCCTTCTCCTTTCGCCGCATCTGAGGAGGGCGAGTGCCGGCGTCAACGTCGAAGGCTGCAGCTGTAATACTCGTCTGTGTGAGTGTGTATGTATGTATGTATGTATGTACTGTATGTACTGTAACCCTTCCTCTGTTTCGTTGCATTCTCCCCCCCCCTCTCTCTCTCTCTCTCTCTCTCTCTCTCTCTCTCTCTGTCTCTCTCTGTCTCTCGCGCCCGACAAAGTGCAGGTGGTATCCAGAGCCCGCGTTTCTTTTCTCGGGTGAAATTAATGCAAAACGCTTGTTCCTCCCCCCCCCCTCCTCCCGACGAGAACGCGAGGCGCGGCGGCGCGAGCGCACCGGCAACGCGATCTCTCATATTTATTCGACATTTTCACGCGACCCCTCGCGCCGCCCTTTGACTGCGCCACACTTTGCAGGAAGATACTCTTCGGAGGATGACGAGTAATAGCGGCGGGTAATAGCGCGTGCTTCAAAACGGTAGTTAAAACGGAGCGACGGACCGTGACGCGCGGCGATTGCGTGTGCGGCCGGTTATTGAAATCGACCTTTACCACTCGCGTCTCCTCGTAAATGCCGCGGGATGTATAAATGCCGCGTTACGCGCAAAGATTATGTGTGCGAATTGCTTTATATCCGCCCATAAAACTAACCCCGTAAATTATCACCTCATTTTTTTTTTTTTCGACGAGCCATTTATCTGCCGCTGCATTTTTGCCTAAACAGAAAACGTTGCTTTATATAGACTAAAAAATAATAAATTTCTCCCGAAAAGACTGTACACGATGTATGTACCGGACGTTTAATATATTGTATAATGAATATCTTTCGCAGTATCTAACGTGTATAAAAATTATTAAAAATATTGTAACACAAAATATAATTTTTAGATAAAACGCATTTTTTATTTCAATATTTTAACACATATTATGCTAATCAGATGTGCTCATTGAAACATGAGTCTCATAATAGCGAGTATAATAGAAAGAGAGAAATTAATTTAATGTTGATAAAGCAAACGCGAAATAACAGCCTTTGCCACGATAAAAAAAACTTTTTATCGAAAAGTTTTATCGAAAAGAATTATACGGTATTTCTTGAAGAAACGGATCCAACGAAGCGCTTGATGCGCCAAACATTTTCGTTTTTTCAAATGCGAACTCAAAGATATGAAAGAGATCAAAGGCGCGATCGGTAGTTGTGTCAAAGCAACGACAGAAGCGAGCAAAGGAAGAAAAGGAATGAGAGAGAAGGAGGGGACGGAGAGAGAGAGAGAGAGAAATTCTTCTCGCTTGAAACGCGAGAAATCGGCTGGCATGCTCCAGAAGACGGGAAGTGGAAGCGAAAAAGGCACTATACACGCGTAGACCTTATCCCCTAACGTCTCGGGCGGGAGGGATGAGAGTTGTAAGTCGGCGAGTTTAGAATCGCTGAATAAAGAGCCGAAGGGCTGGAAAGGGTTGGGCACCGAAGTTGTCCGTGGAAAGCGGCTCGCTCGGCCGCAAACTCGATAAAGTTGCGAGGCGCGGCACTCGTTGTGTATACGGGACGAGAGAGACGAGACGGTACAGGATGGGATGTGCGGGATGAGACAGGAGGAGGAGCCGTCTCGCGCTGCTTCCGCTTCCGGTAGTCGATGGCAGACGCGGAGTTCGCGATAGTGAAGTGGAAGGAACGACCGGGAGAAAATCGGATTTCCTGATGCGCAATACGAGTTTCGCGTCCGTCGTCGAGTCTGTTTCACGGGCTGCTTCCTCGCGATTAGAAAAATCGCGAAGCGCGGAAAGAACAACAAATAATATCGTAAAATTTTAATATCTTGCCAAAAAGAAAGAGAGAGGAATTACAATGGGGATGATAGATTTGGATACAAGTTACACTCTTGTAATCTATTAATTAGCTTAAGAATTAAATTTTTCTAATCTTTAATTAATCTCTGACAAATTAAAACTCATTTGAATTTTAACAGTACCGATATTCCAATAATATCGATAAAAAAAATTGGCTCCAGGTTAATCCAGAAATTTAAAATTAAAAATCTATAAGTCTGATTTATGCACTATAATGTCCAGTAATACTGAAAGAAAACGACATAAAATGATGATTTTGTATGAAACATGAAATGACAGTTTTGACACTTTGTATACATTTCACAGCTTCGTACCGAGGTCGCGTACGACGTCGCTATGCTATCCGTCAAATCGTATCATCGCATACCTGGCTGAGATGCGTCACGTGACTCGCCGCGTAGTAACTAGCTCTGGAACCGCACGGCCTCGCATACAGCGGCTCGAGGTCGGCGATGGTGGCGTAACTTCCGGAATTCGCGCTTCCGGGTCGTGGGTCGACCCTAACTAAAACGGAACTCCTGGCCAGGCCGCCGGTGTCCGCCGCGGAGTAACTGCAGCAGGGCAGAGTTTTCCTGAAAGGACCAAAAGGATCTCTGTAGCAGCACGATTGTTACACCCGGGTTAATTACCGTTACAATGGCGCGAGACGCGCTGCCCCATGAAAGCGGGTGCTCGAATAATTGCGGGAGCTCCGGATTCCACAGTTGCAACGCGACGATTTTGCTTAAAACAAATTTTAACACGCTCTGCGCCAAGTTTACAAATCCGGAAATTCGCCGTCGATTTTCGGACGTTGCCGAGAGGATTATTTCAGCCGATAATCTTGCGTTTTCAAGTGGAAAATTATACGTTTTTTTTTTACGATTCATATTAATTATTTCCTCCAATCCGTTACGTTGTAGTCAACTATCGGAAAATATCTGATTTTATAAGATTCAGCTAGGAATTACTCCATTAAAAAATGCTATACGTATGATTCAAACATTTGTTATGATTTTCGCTTGATTTTCTAAAAGTGTATTTAAATTTCAATATTCGCGTGACCCGAATTTGCAGGAACGTTTTTAAAAACTTTTGTACCAACTTTTATCAAATAACGTATCGCTGAACGTTCGATACGCTACAGAAACATTTATAAGGCTTCATTGTTATGGGATCAGAAAATCTACAGCGTAACCGCTAATTTAACTGCTTTAATTTCGCCTGGGGATCACCGCGTAATAGGCTCTTTTAGCAAGCTTTTCCCCCGGGGGGCTGCTCAGGCAGCAATATGTCGAGATAAACGCAGTTCAAATTACAACATCGTTTATGAGATAGACGGTCACTTTATAAAGTCCGGCGTATACATTTCTGCCACTAAAAGATAGAGGGGTATAAGTGGGGAGTGCATTATCATATTTCAGTATATGCCATACATCCGCGCCCTTTACATAACCCTCAACGAAGGAATTATCTTCGACAAGAAGTTCCTCGAGTATTCGCTATCTCTGGCTAGGAGGATTTACAGCACGTCCCGGATGAGCTCTCGAAAAGCTCTAAATGATCCTCTCTTCTCCCC